ACTTGTATTGTACTTTAAAGGTCACCTATTATGCAAAATCTACTTCTTCATGTCTCTTCTACATCAACATGTGTCCCCTCTGTGTAAAGAGGCTCTGAAAGTTTCAGGAAAAAAGATTCTCTCTCTTATTGTCCTGATCCATTTTTATAAAAACCTGTCTGAAAATGAGCTGATCAGATTTTGGCCACTTTGTGATGTCATAACGATGTGTTGGCTTGTGTAACCATTAGCCAATCACCAACCAATGTAACCCCCACCTTATCACCTGAATCTCCTCCTAGAGCACCATTAGGCGCTTTCACACCGCAGTACTTTTCCCACTTTAGTTCCGATATAGTTCCGAAATGTTGCGTTCACACCAAAAAAATCCAGAACTAAAATTAGTTAATGGGAACCTTTTTACCCCCTTTTCCGTCCCTGCTAGAGAGCAGGGACTTTCGTCGGAGAAAAAGGTTCCTATTTCTGATTGGCTGGGCGGATTGAAAACCACGCCCCGTAAAACTCTAAAAAAGTTTTGTGAAGCCGCCATTTTATTATCCTCGCATTAGCATTATTAGCATTAGCATTAGCCCAGCGCACAAACGCAGAGAGACTAACTTATGGCAACACCAAAGAAAACATGGGAGCGGTGGAGATGAGGAGGTGTCGGCGTTCTGGCGATTTACTCGGAAGGCTTCAGTAGAAGCTGCTGGGAGTCCCAGCAGCTTCGACTGAAGCCAGTCCCCAACTCCGGGGACTTCCGGCCGGGGACTCCGGGTGGCAGTATACGCCGTGAAGTTGTTTGCGGCCTGCCAGTAAACCCAAAATAGAAGAAGAAGTGACGTCAGCGGCTTCATTTGCCTAATCCTCCCTCAGGAACATATTCCGGTGTGAACGCGATCTGTACTTAGTTCATGAGAACTAAAGAGTTCTCATGAACTAAGTTCTGATGAACCTTTGTGGGAAAAGTACTCCGGTGTGAAAGCGCCTATTGAGTTCTTTTTAACCAAATATCTCTCAGAGGGGCGTGGGGAGGGGCTCCTTATTTTCATCTAAAGTAACAGACAGAGAATCAGCACTTTTGAAACAGGGCTGAAACAGAGGGGATTATGGGATGCTGCAATGATCTGTTTGGTGTTTCAGCCAATCAGAGACAGGTTCTGGATATATCTGAGACCTGTAATATATTGATGAAAAACAGTATAATAGGGGACCTGTGATGTACTGCTGCAGCTGCAGAATGGAGTATTCAACAAATGCTAGTGCCAGATATTTATATTTAAATCACTTTTCCAAGAACTGTTTTCGCTATTGAGAAAATCTTATATACCATGATGTCAAATACAAAAATCATCTTTATCCATCTCTCCCAATGCTCCAAAATACATCCCATCTGATCACTGATGTTAGCGTATAACAGATTAATTGGGATCAGCCAATAATGAAAAATAAATGTGTGTACGAATATAAATATTTACCTAAAGGATCTGCAAATATACTGTATGTTGCAGTCATTCTGTGTTACCATGTTTGTCCACCAGTGAGTGCTAATTGTTTTCTAACTGTAGAATTTCCCCCTCTGTACATATTTATTTCACAACCAAATGTAAGGGATCCTTGATAAATATGTTGATATAGTCCAAAATATCGTTATAATAAATATGCATGGATATATGCAAGATATAAGTTATATATTTGTAGGATATTGGCCTCAAAAATTGGATTTGAGGTTTACTTATGAGTTTCTGCAACCAGGGCTGAAACTTTCAAAAATGCACAATAATAAATAAAAATCTGTGTAGACATTGTAAACAAAGGTAGGTCCATTATTTATTTTGTACTTGGGTAGTGTCTATTGGTCCCAATTCATATATCAGGCAGCAAAATTAAATACTAGGGGACCTATCATGCAAAATGCACTTTTGTATGTCTTTTATACATCAACATGTGTCCCCGGTGTGTCAGGGAACTCACGCAGCGTCAGAAAATAAAACCCTCTCTCTTTTCCTCCGTACCCAAATCTCTAAAAACGGGGCTACAACGGAGCTGATACAGATTTGCATCCGATATGACGTAATATCGGAAATGTAGGCGGGCTTTACACCCACGGCCCTATCAGAAACGTTGCTATCAGAAACAATGCCTGACTGTTTTGGAGGTAATATGGTCGGTGCATGTTTACATTAGCATCGCTAACACTCAGAGCTAACCTGTACTGGAGAGCATGTGTGTGAAGAAGCAGGAAATAAAAAGGAACTCACCTTGTGGTATAACCGGCAAGAGAGAAAGCCTTTGAGCTCCATACTGTTTCAGAAATAATCCTTGATAATCCATGATATGGCGTTTCATCACGGCAGTATTTAGTTTAGACCAGCGGTTTTCAAAGTGTGAGGCGCGCCTCCCCTGGGGGGCGCCAGAGAGCTTCAGGGGAGGCGCAGCGTGAGACAAAAAATAACGAGAAAAGATGAGAAAAGTGACACTTGCCCACTTTTGGCTGTCTGTGGAGACCGAGTTCCCCCACCTCGCCAAAAAGGCTGTAAAAGTGCTCATTCCCTTCACCTCCACCCACCTGTGTGAGTGCGGGTTTTCCGCATGGACTTTGATCAAAATCAAGTGCCGAGTATGATCTGCGTTTATTCCTGTGTGCAGACTCATTGTTCCCACTAAAGTAGGGGTGAGTGTAATAAGGAGGCAAAATTGACGTTCAGTGTGTTGCCGGGAACATATAAGGATGTATCAACGATGTTGAAAATGTTAAAAAAAAATAAAAAATATGTGTTGAGAACACGGCGTGCGAAAATATACGGGTCGTGCTGCAGCTAGATTTGCCTGTCCTCTGTAAGAAGGTGTCGGCGACTGACATGCAAGGAAGAACGGCTGTCCACAGGCTGTTCCAACTTTAACAACTTTATTAACTTCCAGGGTAGTGAATTGAACATGCTATTGTAATTGGGTGTGTGGTATATTTTCGTGCACGGACACGTATGTTCCACAACACACAAACTGAACAACACTCAATTGTCCGATCGCTACCAGTGTCCTTGCGATCTTGTTATAACGATAACAACAAAGTGCACGTTACTGATGCAATATGGTTGAGACCATTCGGGCTTATTCTAGAGGGGTGCAAGGAATAGTCCAAGTAGTGGGGGAGTTGTATACAATATGTTTAAAACATAAAGATAAAAAGGTTTAAAAAAGTTATTGTTTAATGTTTTAAGGAGGTGACGCTACTCAGCCAATCAAATCGGTGCAGTCAGTGAGCCAGCACGATAGATTCAAACACAGAGACGAGACAAGAGGAGAGAAACAGTCTTCATTTTATCTTACTGGACCTCTTTGAAATGCAATTGAATACCCCTGCATTATAGCAACAACAACAATGATAATAATAATAATAATAATAGCAATAATAATTGGGAGGGGGGGCGCGGCTGTTCTTATGTTCTCTGAGGGGAGGCTCACCTTCCCACACTTTGAAAACCCCTGGTTTAGACAGTAGCTGCCGGGTCCTGCATGAGCTCAGCCCATTTTTTTTTTTAAAGCTTTATACCCCAAATCAGCACTTTTGAAACAGGAAGTGAAATATTTGTACTCAAGTATAAGATCTGAGTACTTCTACTTTTACTCAAGTACAATATCTGAGTGTACTTCTACTTTTACTAAAGTACTAGATCTGAGTACTTCTACTAAAGTACTAGATCTGAGTACTTCTACTTTGACTAAAGTACTAGGTCTGAGTACTTCTACTTTGACTAAAGTACAAGATCTGAGTACTTCTACTTTTACTCAAGTACAATATCTGAGTGTACTTGTACTTTTACTAAAGTACTAGATCTGAGTACTTCTACTAAAGTACTAGATCTGAGTACTTCTACTTTGACTAAAGTACTAGGTCTGAGTACTTCTACTTTGACTAAAGTACTAGGTCTGAGTACTTCTCCCACGTCTGGTAGTGACGTAGAACAATGTGGTTTCCCAACCGGGGGAGACATGCTCTCATTTCATCTATAAACATCTGAGGGTGTTCCCTGAGTAATATTGATTCACTCGACAGGTTTTTGATAATCTGATAAAAAGGTTTATTTGGCTGCTCCTTCCATAAAACGCCAGATTATTTATTCTGAGGGTGAGGCTGAGCTGGGGCATTTCACAAAACCGACGGTCGAGGAAATAACGGAGAGGGAGCCCTGGAGGAAAGTGCACATAAATGCTGATTGTTGGGGAATATTTTGCTTAGGTATCCCAGTCCATCACTTTCTCCTTTCCCATGGCATAGGTCTACGGTCTACAGTCTTGTGATATTGCTGCTATCCCTCTTAAGGAGAAGCAGCTCTGGCTCCTTGTTGTTGTTCATGACCAAGCATAAGCTGACCTGAGATAGTTTATGGTTCGTGGACATCGTGGAGTCCTTATCGGGTGCGTAAGTCCCACTGTCGTACATTCTTGGGCCATGGACGACAGTTTTAGTTACATTTTAGATACAGTGCCCTGTTTGTTTAGTGTTGTTAACGAAGAAGGTTGATCATACACTCTGAACGAGTTAAAACCTCCGACTAAGGAAGAGATCTTCAGAATAGGCCGGGCAACCGCTGTCACCTCGTGGGGCGGCAGCACATGTCTTGTCAATTCTCCGGTCGTAACTCCATAATAAACCTTTAGTGTTTGCCATCATGCTCCTGCTCTCTCCGTGTCTCTCGTGAGTTTCGTCTCCATTGCTCCAGAAGTTTCCATCACAGTGATCACGTAATATAACGACAAAAGTTACTTAGAAACGGCACAAAGATTGTGGGTTGAATTAGTCCAGCATTAAGCTGATAAAGTAGTCGTTAAAACTGTGACTGAGTGTGTGCAACAGATAGTTTTTAATGTAATACTACATTTGTTTAATTTTGCCAAAGTCTAAAATCTAGAGTCCTTAGGAAATTGGAATTGAACACTTATCAGATAGGAGGAAAATAATTATCTTGCAAATGTGTGAGTGACAAACTGATATGATTGACTGTTTCATTCTCACAAAATTGTTTAAAACTTACATTTATTTCATTGTACAGTTGTATTTCACAAATATTTACAAAAAAATGTACACATTACCACTGATGACTTCAACATTAAGTATGAAAAGTCTTAATGATACATTGTAGAAAAGGATTTATAAATATCCAATTTGAGAGTCGCTTTGAAAATACCAGAAAGATGTTCTCAATAAATTCTCTGGAACAAAGGTTTCTTGGATGGTGGCAGATACTCCATGTTCCCCTCTTCTGAAGCAGCGTTTAATCTAGCGTGCCTACGGAGAAAATAAAGACCCATTAGACAACAAATACAAGAACACATCTGGAAGAGCATGCTGTTCTTCTGAACTATATTAAGGTATAAAAAACCCTTAACATTTGAAAGTCATGGCAAGGCTTACCTTCAAGAAATGCAAATTCATCTATGGCCTCTATTGCGTTGTCTGTAGAAACAAATAGAAGCAAAATGGAAAAGTTAAAACTGGTTCATAAAATGTTTTAGGTTTCTATAGAGCAATGCTAACAAACACAGGTCAGTCAGATGAACACAACAACAACAACATTAACGTTTACTTTCCTTTACACAGATGTAACAGCATGCCAATTTAAGTTAGAAAGTCACAACCAGTGCCCTGTACTACGAAGCCAGTTCAACTGACCCTGGATATGTTTGAGTTACCTGGCTTAACTAATCCAAAACAAACACGCTCTCGCTAAGCGGTCCTACGATGCTGGTTATCAACTCGGTAACTCAAACCAGGGTTTCTCTGTCCAGCTGAGTGCGCGTTCACATAAAAGGGGCGGGGTTAGCAGCATTTGACCAATCACTAACATGGAGAATCATACTGACAGCGCAGCGTCATACTTCCTGAATGAAAAGAAAACTTTAATATTACTAATATGAAGAAGTTAAACTTTAAACATCCATGACTTAAACACTTTATCCAGGATCAAAGCCACATAGCTGCACCTGCAAGCTGAATACAGCTGGTAAAAGAAAAAGCGTTTGAATGCGTACATTAACAGGTTTATGATATCACTGCCCCGTCTAAGACACGAGTGGATCTGACTTTAATTACATTTGACTCGAGTGTTTCGTCAACTTAATGTGTTGCTTAAAATAATACTTCTGCATACAGTATGTGACACTGTGAGTGTTGCACAGCCAGATATGGCTCAAGAAGCTGACTCGGATAAGGAAATATATGATACATTATGTAAGGGATAATGTGCAGCGACGCGGTCATTATGGGTAAAAGAACACCGACAGGCTGATCAGGAGCCCGACGCGAAGCGGAGGGATCTAGATCTGCATGAAGGTGTTCTTTTCCCCATAATGACCAAGTCGCTGCACATTATCCCGCTTATTACACGGCCACATTCTCAACAAAGTAATGATATGACTCCCACTATTAATTGAAATGCTTTTATGGATTTAGAAAATGATTTTATTGATTTAAAAAATAGTTGTATGTATTGATTTAAATTGACATGCATCCGCTAAGGAAAATAGTCCGTTCTTACCGTTTGAAAAAAAAAATGGAGCAACGCAACGGCAGGAAGGCGGAGCTTTTTGATTACAGATTTGAAAACATCGTTGCTTGCTTTAAAATTAGCACAATTCATTATGTCAAACCTTGGAAAGTATCTAGATATCCCTGCCCTAATGCCAAAGTAACTGGCAACTGAATATGTGTCGCCGTTTGATGTCTATGTCTGGACCGCTGCGTAAAAAGGAGGGTTTCTGCCCGTTACTTCTCCGCTGTTTTCTCGTCGCTCTTGTCTTGTCAGTTAGAAAAGCAAACTGCATGCAGTTTGCTTTTCAGCCAAACTGTATACAGTTCAATCGACCGGACTTCTTTCTGCAGATTTGAGCGTCCTTAACAACGGTCATAAATCCTTGACAGCGGTCTGTCTGTTCTGGATTAACAACGTGTCACGTGTTCTGAATTGACCAATCAGAATCGAGTATTCAACTAAGCCATGTAATAAGATGTGATATCATGTGATATGAATGATAATGGGACACATCGCCGTCTGCACTCACAGTGCCGCGGACTGTACGTAATGTTACTCTGATCCGGTTAATTATGTTGTGGCAGATATTTAAGTAAGCTTTCTTAACGCTAATGTTATAATAGTCAGATTGCTCTGAAGATGGGAGGGGATATTCTATTAATTTTCACGTTCACACAGTCGGTGATTTTTGCCGGCCGTCTTTCCTGCAACGGCAGTTTTTCTGTATTTCCTCTATCCTGTAATATGACTTGATCGCTTTAAACTCCGCACACGGAGCTCTGATTGGTCAGCAGGCGGTGCTTTCACTGATTTGATCTCTTATCCTGGAACCTAACCTGCTCCGGACCAGGCTAGCCGTTCAGCATAAGTTACCATGGAGATCTAGCCCGCTAAAAAGAGAACCAGCGTCGTAGGACCGGAAAGCCAGAGTTAACCCTGAAGTTACCTCGCTATGCGAAAATCCGGCTTCGTAGTACAGGCCACAAGTCTGTCAGCTGAACTACCATAACATTGTAAGTCCATTTTCAAATAATAAAAAATAACTTTAGAAAACCTTATTTTTCCATTAAATTACACATCATTTTAATCTTCCTTTCTCCATCCTTGCATTTCTGTGTAAATGTATTCAGAGCACTCACCCAGGTCTTTCCTCTGCAGAGTTTTCCTCTTCCCTTGCTGAGCGTACACCAGGGAATCTTTGGCAATCATCTCAACAAACAACTCCTGGAACAAAGACATTCATTAATATTCTGAAAACCATTTGAAACTAAAAACCAATTCAGACACGAAGAGGAATATCTGATATCTTCCTATCAATATCTTTTTGGTCTTGAACCCAAAGGAAATGTGACCTAAAATATGTCTATCGTAGACATGTATCACAAGTCTATTTTGATTATATATATATGTCACTTTAACTTTCTTTCTTGGGTTGATGTTCTCACAGATTACATTAATCAGTTCTATTGTAAACTACGGCTGTCTTTCCCAGGCTTTTTCACACCTTTAATACAAAAGACTGGGCATCTCATCATACGGGTGTTACCTGTGATAATAAGCATGTCTTATGTCCCTTTTGTTTCCTGCTCCTTTGTATAAATTACTTTTGGTTTCTGCACATTTCTACTTATGTGCAATGCCGTGTTTTGTTTTCCATGCTGCTGCTGCAACGCAAACATTCCCCAATTTGGGATCAATAAAGTACCTCTTATCTTATATAAAATGCAATAAACAACTTCCCTATTTGTGATCAGTAGTAGTACATCTAATCCAATTAAATAATGTAAGGTTGTTACATGTGCATTTTGGGATGCCTTTATTTAGCAGGGGCACTTTATAGTTAACTTTAATAAGCATAATGCTCATTTATACAGTATAGGGCATATTCACTATTATTAAAGAGGATAATCACAGTACATTGACTGAAGACTCTTTATGGACTAACTTGCTTTAATCTCATAGTAGTAATAGTAGTAATTATTTATCTAACATATCATATTCCAATTACTTGTATATAGACTCTCCTTGCACTATTTATATCCTATTTGATTTGTATTTTGATGGCAACTTAAAAAAGGAGTAGCTCCACTCATCTCATTGTAGCTATATAATGACAATAAAGGATTATATTCTGTTCTATTTACTTGCACTAATTTAACTATTTTATCTGTGTTATTGTGTTGCTCTGTTGGAGAAGCCTGTGACCTAAGATTCCCATTGCTATATCTACACTGTACTGTAACCTTGAATCTAGTATCAGGCAGCTCTGTGTTGTTTCAAGACTTCCTCCTCCTCCATGTTTGTTATTTACCGTGGCTTTAGCGATGATGAACACGGACTCCTGGCTGGCCAGAGACACGTCCGGGTCGGTCTTCATCAGAGCTTTGATCCGGGCCAGCGGGAGTTTAGAGAGCCGTGTCCCGGGGCCTGTTGTCTGCGGCGGGGCGACCTCCTCCTCCGCCTCGGGTCCTCCACGGATCTCCTCCTCAATCCGGTCAGGGTCGAGCTCCGTGGGGCTGACAGGTGTAGCTACTACTGCCGCCATTTTCTGTCTCTTTACACGGTCAAAAACACACAAAATACTACCTTTTTCTAAGCAGCATGTCACAGATGACAACAACAAGCATGTGCTTCCGGTTTTCTGGTGAGGGGTGTGATCCGATTGGTTAGGAAAGCACGCGAAAGCCCCGCCTCTTCCTCTCCCGCCAACTCATCCTCGTCTGTGATTGGTTAGAAAGCGAATTCGGCTATGACTATTGGCTTGAAGCAGACGTCAATCATAGTAACAATTACGTGGATGAAAATTACCGCAAGGAGTATGTCAAGATGTAAATCCGTTCAGGGTCGAGCTCCGTGGAGGTGACAGGGGAGCAGCATGTCACAGATGACAACAACAACATGTTTTTCCGGTCTTTTGGTGAGGGTTGTGCGCTGATTGGTTAGGAAATTACGCTAAAGCCCCGCCTTTTCCTCTCCCAACTCACCCTCGTCTGTGATTGGTTATAAGGCGAACTCGGCTATGACTATTGGCTTGAAGCAGACGTCAATCAAAGTGAAAGTTGCGTTGGACGAAAATTACGGCAAGAAGATGTCAAGATGTAAATGGTTGATCAGTGGCGAGCCGTCAGGGCCCTCTAGGCCCTCTGTGAGGGCCTAAGATATTCCAAAAAATAATATTTAAAAACATTAAAAATATATATATTTTTTTTAAATATATATTTTTTTAATATTATTTTTGTTATATTTTTCATTAGTTTTACCGAAAAAAAACTTGATTTAATAAAATAACATTTCCAAAGAAATAAATCCTTCGAATCTGCCTGTTCAGTCTCTGTTTGAATGTCAGTTACTATAGCGGGCCTCTCTGCGATTCACAGAGGGCCCGCTATAGTAACTGAACGAGAGAGTAATGTCAAATGACACAACAATTGACCAATCATATCTTCCCTCTAAATGGGTGGGTTTTATTATCGCGGACTTTATGACGAGTTCCGCCCGCTGTGAAACGTTTCTTGTTTCCATAGCAACAACAACTTCCTGTCAACAGCGTGAACTCGCCTTCAAAATAAAAGCATGCCAAATTACATTTAAGACATACAACTGCAACGAAAGTAACAAACACAATGCAATATCATTTTCAATGTCAAAGAACACAAATTGGGTTCACAGGTGTTGTTTTGTGTGGTAGAGGGTCGCTGTCATTGATGCGTTTTGCACCCTGGGCCGTTGTTTTGATATTCCGCTGAAGTATACGCTGTGACGTAATAACTATTTTTTTTTCTTTTTTTCGAGGGAAGGGGTTGATTGATTGATTGATTGAAAAGTTTATTAACAGCTTGTATATTGGGTACAGTACAGTACAGCTCAAAACATACAATTGTTAAGGGGATGCAGACCAGAGAAAGACTTTCGTCTTGTTTACATCAGGGTCCCCCATTTCCAATTCATCATATCATTTAAGACATATAAGACATATTTGACATACAGATGGCTTATTTACAATTTACATACAGGTGGTTTTTTACATACAGATGGCTTATTTACAATTTTCATTTTAGATTTCGTTCTAATACATCCTAACCGGACATTTAAGACATACCAAGTCTACAGATATACAGTTAGTAACAGAGTCTAAAATGCGAGTATATACATAGATGGGGGGGGGGAAGCTGTCCATTGTACGACAGGTTGAGATTTGTACCATTACCGGGGCCAGTTTTGCAATGCTTTCCCCCGAAGGTGCTCTTTAAGAGAGGTTTTGAAGGTAAGTATAGTTTTACTTTCCTTTACAGTTGTGGGAAGAGCGTTCCACCTTGATGTGGCATAATTGCGAAACGTGTATTCCCCTTTTTTTGTGCCAAATCTGGGTTTTACATGATTTGTGGAGCTCCCTCTGGTGTTATGATCATGGTATTCCTTGACCTTTGGGAAGAATTTTGACATGTACATGGGTACCATAGAGGTGTAGTGGATCTTGTAGACCAGGCCCATTGCAAGTAGCTGTACTCTGTCGTCTACTCTAAGCCATCCTAGGTTGTCAAAGTGGGCAGAGGTGAGGTGGGTTCTAGATGAAAGGTCAAGCAGTAGTCTGACCAGTTTATTTTGCGATGTTTGAAGTTTTATTTTTAGCGCCTTGGAGGTGCTATGGTACCATGACGTGCAAGCATAGTCATAGTACCCTTGAATGAGTGCTCCTGCCAGAGTTTTCAGGGTGTTTTTGTTTACTAGAGAGGAGATCCGGTATAGGAATCTAGTTCTTTGATTGACTTTTTTTATTACATTGGATGCCATTTTGTCACAGGAGAGGTTTGCCTCAAGAATAGATCCTAGGTATGTAATTTCCTTCTTACTTGTGACAATAATGTCACCCACTGCAACTGAGAAGTCGTCGGATTTGCTGAGATTATGTTTCGAACCGAAGAGAATGGACTCTGTTTTACCCAGGTGTAATGATAATTTATTATCGGCGAGCCAGGTGCAGATTCTGCCGAGCTCGGAGCTGAGGGTTTTTTCAACCTGCAATCTGCTCCTGTCAGAGACCAGCAGGGCTGAGTCGTCCGCGAACAGGAACAAGTTGCAGTCACATGCTGATGACATGTCATTTGCATAAATTAGGAACAGTAACGGACCTAATATGCTTCCTTGTGGAACACCACAGCTCACTGGGAGGGGGGGGGACAGAGTACCGTTTACCTCCACCATCTGTTCTCTCCCCTCCAGGTAGGATTGCATCCAGCTCACCGATAGTTTATCAAAACCAATTGCTTTTAGCTTGTCAATCAGAATGGGGTGATTGACAGTGTCGAAAGCCTTTTGTAGGTCCAGCATCACCATGCCGCAGTATTTACCCTCGTCCACCTCTTGTTTGATGTGGTCGTTCAAATAAAGAAGGCATGTGTCAGTGGAGTGGGATGTTCTAAAGCCAGATTGAAATTCATAGATTAGTTTCTTTTCTGCGAGGTACTTTTCGACCTGTTCATATACTATTTTTTCCATGACTTTCGAGATGGAGGTAAGTATAGAAACAGGGCGGTAGTTGCCTGGGTCCAATTTGCTGCCCTTTTTGTGCAGGGGGGTTACTCTTGCAATTTTGAAGTCTTTGGGTACTTTTCCCTGTTTTATGGAGAGGTTAATTATGTGAGCTATGACTGGTGAGATGGCGGTTGGGTGGGGGTCAGAGGGCCTAGGTATAAAGCTCACGGCTCGCCACTGTGGTTGATAGTACTAGTGATACGTTTATTTAGCAATTTTATATTATGTAAGAGTAATATTTTAGCATTTATTAAAGCAAACCAGTTTATTAACAATGTATATCATCCTCTTACTTTAACCGGTGGAAATAATCCCACCTATAGTCACTCTTTCACTTGTTTGTCCACTTGGGGGCAGCAGAAACAAACTGTAAACCATAGGCTGTATATCTGACCATTTACAGTCTATGATTATTATCACCTAATACAATTAATAGAGACACCATATATGTACGCATGCAGACAATAGTGCAAGGTCAAGTGACAGTTGTGATTAATAGCAGCACAGCATAATATTTGTTCAAGATATTTGTTGGTTAAATAGCAGCAATCGATTGAAGTATTTTTAAAACCTAATATGATTGAGTATTTTCTCTCTCCTTCACATAGAGAGTTCCCTAAATCCCCCCTATACTTACTTCTTGTTTGTATTGTGTTGTATATATTCACTGGCAACATATGGTATTTTTGTTGTGTTTTTTTAGATTCATGTCAATAAAGCTTAATATAACTGTGACATTACTAACACAGAATACAAAATGATCTTGTAGTCTTCATACATGATGTATTATTACTTGGTATCGTATGACATTTTATATGATGTGTACTTAGTTTATTCTTTAAAAATGTGGATGCAGCATTACATCAGTGCACTAATACACTGCACTAATAGGATTGAAGAAGGACTTAGTCTCCGACTCTCCCTCTCTTGTTCAGGTGTTCAGTCGCAGTGCGCTGAGCCTGAGTGACGGACATGAAGGACCTCCATATTCCAGGTAAATACATCTGCTTTACATCTGCTTTACATACTAATCTAATATTTCTGTTTCTGCAGATGTGTAAACACGTCTTTATTAGAAAGTGGTTTACACATCTTAAACAAAACAATACTTTCTGCAGATGTGTAAACACGTCTTTATTAGAAAGTGGTTTACACATCTTAAACAAAACAATACTTTCTGCAGATGTGTTAACAAGTCTGCAGAACTTATTGTTTTATTTAAAATCTGTAAACCACTTTGTAACAAGATATTACAGAGATGGTTATTTGTGTCTTCATTCATGGCTAATCAATTATTTAGCTGTGCTTTATAGATTGGGTTTAGAAAATCATAAATAAATCCTTTGGTTGTGTTAAACCTCCAAACACTTGTTCTGTCTTTATAGTAAGATGAATCATTGTGGACCATCTGTTAATAATGACACGTTAACATTTAAATAATAGAATAGAATTGGAGGGATGAACCCCTCTTTAATGGTCACACATGCAGAGCACACAGCACACAGTGTTCTCTGCATTTAACCCATCCTAGTACCAGGAGTCTAGTACTAGGAGCAGTGGGCAGCTATTGTACAGCGCCCGGGGAGCAATGGGGGTGGGGGGGGAAGGGGGATGCCCGGTGCCTTGCTCAAGGGCACCACGGCAGGGCAGGAGGTGAACTGGGACCTCTCCAAGTAGCAGTCCACACTCCATATTTAGGTCTGGTCGGGGACTTCAACCGGCGACCCTACGGCTCACAGTCCAAGCCCCTACTGACTGAGCCACTGCCGGACATTGAAATATGTATGCAATTGAAGACTAGAGAGTGATCACCCACATTAGCATAAATAAATGCCTGACTAATAATGTACTTCATTGTTATCAACACCAACCAAAGGTATTTTTACAACCTAGTTAACACAAACGACTAATTAGTACTAGCTTTCAAAGTAAAATATTTATCAACAATCAAGAGGACAGGTTAACTATAGATCCTTTGCTAAATGTGTTTTATTTGTCCATATAAACCATATATATGGCCATATTATGGCTGATTATTAATCCATGTTTAACAACTTATTGTTTCAATGTTGGCAAGGCAATTTACAGATTCAGCTTAATTATCAAATTCAGAATGCTTTAGTGTCAAAGTGCATACAGCAACAAGCAATATGTACCGGGTTATATTAAATGCAATGCTAGAAGGTGCAGCAGTATCAGAAAATGGAAACAAATGTTTAGTTTTAAATAATAAACCCTTCTTTTAATTATCCATTTAAAACTGACCAGACTCACTAATACTGTTTCTAAAAGAAGCTTGAAATCCTGGCCACTTTAAGCCCACCACCACACGCTAAATTTAGCCCACAATGACACGGAGCTGGTTCGTTCTGTAGTTACAGATGTGAGTTATCATTGTTGTAAAACCATCAGTTACTTTAAGCAGTTCACCTCAGCTGCCTGTTCTCCATGTGTGTTCTGTCATTTGGAGAAGTTATATTTGCTGTTGAAGACGCCCACACACAGCTCAAGTCTTGACAGATAAACTCTGACATTTGACCCCCTGTGGCTCTTTGTGTCAATCTGAAACCGTAAGCCACAGTCTTCCACGATCACAAAGGAAACAGGATTTAAACCTCGCATTAACATGGAAGCCAAACTACTGTCATGTTTGGAAAAAACATAGATTTTTTGGCCAGATTTGAAAAGAAATGTGCTGAGACTTTGCAAAGAATGTTCCCAGTTCTGAAACAGGAAACGTGGACACATCCTGCTTTTGTCCATCATTTATAAAAAACAAAAAACAGAAAGTTAATTGAATCAGCATCATAGTCTCTATCTAGACCCTTAAAACTGACAAGACACTTTTCTCAAAACGACGACACCTCATAAGTGTGACATATACATTTTCTGTCATATAAAATGCTCACCTTGCATCTTGGGAATATGTTTAATGTCAGTTCATGTGTGTATACTTTAAAGGTCTCCTATTATACTGTTTTTCATCAATATATTACAGGTCTCAGATATATACAGAACCTGTCTCTGATTGGCTGAAACACCAAACAGATCATTGCAGCATTACCCATAATCCCCTCTGTTTCAGCCCTGTTTCAAAAGTGCTGATTCTCTGTCTGTTACTTTAGATGAAAATAAGGAGCCCCTCCCCACGCCCCTCTGAGAGAGATTTGGTTACAAAGAACTCAATGGTGCTCTAGGAGAAGATTCAGGTGATAAGGGGGGGGGGGGGGGGGGTTACCTTGGTTGCTGATTGGCTAATGGTTACACAAGACAAAACATCGTTATGACATCATAAAGTGGCCAAAATCTGATCAGCTCATTTTCAGACAGGTTTTTATATAAATGGATCAGGACAAAAAGAGAGAGAATCTTTGTTCCTGAAACTTGGTGATGTAGAAGAGACATGAAGAAGAGGGGACACATGTTGATGTAGAAGAGACATGAAGAAGAGGGGACACATGCTGATGTAGAAGAGACAAAGTGAAAAAGTGGATTTTGCGTAATAGGTGACCTTTAATTAACTCTTACACAATCAGTCATAACTTGGCTCTGTCCCGTTGCAGACAGCGAAAGCTAAACAGGAATTAAGATTACACCAGGTTAGGACAGACGTTTCACAACACAAGTCAACCTGGAGGCCAATCTCATTAACAATTATCTAAACTAGGAACAGTCACACACTGACCTCCGTGAGACTTCATCTGTACAGTGCAAACATAACCCAAGATAGGGATTGGCCCTCCTCCAACAAACGTAATGTTACCTGTGCGCTATTACTGTGTACTAATACATTCACAAGCTACCCTGCAGTTTCAAACTAGCTGCACCTTTACCAGCTTTGAGAACACTTTCATGATCAATCATTATAAAACATATCATATATATTATTCTGAAATGGACCAATCTGCACAATGACTACTTTTACTGTCGCAACTTTAACTATATTTTGATGAGAATACTTTTATACTTTTACTTGAGGAACATTTTGAATACAGGACTTTTACTGTAACAGAGTATTCCTACACTCTGGTACTTCTACTTTTACTCAAGTACAAGATCTGAGTACTTCTACTTTTACTCAAGTACAAGATCTGAGTACTTCTACTTTTACTCAAGTACAAGACCTGAGTACTTCTACTTTTACTGAAGTACAAGATCTGAGTGCTTCTACTTTTACTGAAGTACAAGATCTGAGTACTTCTACTTTTACTGAAGTACAAGATCTGAGTGCTTCTACTTTTACTCAAGTACAAGATCTGAGTACTTCTACTTTTACTGAAGTACAAGATCTGAGTGCTTCTACTTTTACTGAAGTACAAGATCTGAGTACTTCTACTTTTACTGAAGTACAAGATCTGAGTACTTCTACTTTTACTGAAGTACAAGATCTGAGTGCTTCTACTTTTACTGAAGTACAAGATCTGAGTACTTCTACTTTTACTCAACTACAATAACTGAGTACTTCTACTTTTACTCAAGTACAAGATCTGAGTACTTCTACTTTTACTGAAGTACAAGATCTGAGTGCTTCTACTTTTACTGAAGTACAAGATCTGAGTACTTCTACTTTTACTGAAGTACAAGATCTGAGTACTTCTACTTTTACTGAAGTACAAGATCTGAGTGCTTCTACTTTTACTGAAGTACAAGATCTGAGTACTTCTACTTTTACTCAACTACAATAACTGAGTACTTCTACTTTTACTGAAGTACAAGATCTGAGTGCTTCTACTTTTACTCAAGTACAAGATCTGAGTACTTCTACTTTTACTTTTGCTGCTCTCTTATTTCTACAGGTATGTGTTAGGAATGCACGACATGAGGAAAATCCGATTCCTCCCAAAGCAGAAAGGGAGCAAAGGTTCAAAAGATGAGGCTCCGGTGATGGAAAAGACACAAAGGAAGGTCTCTGTTTCCACCAGTAACATCCCGAGGCTGAGCGAAGCAGAGAGGATGAGGCAGTCTTCGTTCGAGAGGGTCGTCTACGACATGGCGCACAACGAGAAGGTGGTGAACGAGCTGATGCTGGGGAGGAGGGTGGGATTCTACGAGCTGAGAGGAGAGATCGGGCAGGGCAACTTCTCCACCGTCAGGCTGGGCATCCACGCCCTGACGAAAGGTCAGAAATCTTTGGACATTTATGTGGTTTCATCCCATTTATCCATTGTTTTTCTTTCAGCACATAAGAGGCGGTTTGCTTATGTCAGAGGTGTCCAAACTGTTTTCACCGAGGGCCACATACAGAAAAATATACGAAGGGCTGGGCCACTCACTAGAGGTTTATTGCCTCATAAGTTCAGTTGTAAGTTGGAAAAATCAATCAAATGTATGTAAATTATTCTTGATACTTGAAAATGCTGTTAAAAAAAAAAAACCTAAATCACAGCTCTCCAGAGGGATTCATTTATTTTGTTAACAGCTCATTCATTAAAGGGCCCATGTCATGCTTTTCCGGTTATTACCCGTCCCCTTGTGTGTTATGAAGGTTGTTCTGCATGTAAACGGTCTGCAGAGTCACAAACCGTCAAAGTACATCCTGTAGGGAGTAAAACTCTAACACAGAAAATACCTCCCCAAAACGCCTCGTTGGAGATACGTCATTGTCCATTTGATTCTTCCATTTCGTTCCGGGTACGGCATGATGTCATGCCGTACCCGGAACGAAATGGACCAATCCGTGGAGCCGTTACGTTACGTCCGCGGAGCCGTTACGTTAAGCCCCCGCTGATTGGTCCAAATTGACCAATCCACGGACTTCCTCACACACACATCTGTGTGCAGGGAGCAGACAGCTCTGCTGATTTCTCCTCCCTGGCTGCAGGCTGATAACAGACAGTTGGGATCGCGGAGAAATTCTCTCTGCAGACCCTTTCTCTCTGCAGACCCTTTCTCTCTGCAGACCCATTCTCTCTGCAGACCCATTCTCTCTGCAGACCCATTCTCACAGCGTTTATCAACCTTTTTCTTACTCAATATCAAGCCACACTTATTGTTTTTACTTCGGCTGTGACTTTGTGTGTGCTCAGGATGAGTTTGGCTGTGTTTCGCTATGTATCCTAAACAAGGAAACAACACCTCCACGGAGCTCAGCGCGATTCACAACGTCCCAACCAATCAGAGCACACTGTGCTCACAGGGAGGGTGGGGGCTGGAGCTATTGGAGCTACAACGAGCCGTTAAAGGCAGAGAGTGAAATTCAGTGAATACACGTAGTTTACAGAGATGCTGTTTGAGAAACCAATGTGAGTTTGGAAAATTGCACAATATAAATCTATTCTAGTAGACCTCAACAATGTAATTATGATCAGTGGAAATGGCCATGACATGGGCCCTTTAAGACGTACAATATAAGACAAGCAGAAGTTTCATTTGTGGGCCATATTACATTATACATTTTTAATCTGCTGAGGGCCGATTCAAAATGGTCCGTGGGCCGCATTTGGCCCCCGGGCCGTAGTTTGGACACCCCTGGGCTAGACGAACTCTACAATATTTGACAGCTGTGGCTCTATCTCTTAATCTGTGTGAAGAGTTATAAGACCTCATGAACATATAATCCTGCATGTACCTGGTCACGCTCAACATTCTCTGCACTTCATATTTGACTTAAAATCCCGAAGTGCTACAAGCAGTGAGCATGGAACAGTATAAAAACAGTACACAACACAGTAGAATGAATAAAAAGCAATAAAAAACAAACAATGAAATAAAATAAAAGGGTGGTAATAAATAAAAGGTCTAGGGAAAGGCTCTATTGAACAGATGGGTTTTGAGGCCTTTTTTAAAAGCTTCCACGGTCTGTGGTGCTCTCATGTGGTCGGGGAGAGCATTCCACAGACTGGGAGCAGCCGAGCAGAAGGCCCGGTCTCCCATAGTACGGAGCTTGGTCCTGGGGGGGTCTGAGGAGGTTGGAGTTGCTGGAGCGGGAGGTCCGCAAGGAGGTATGGGGGTTCCTTGAGGTAGGGAGGGGCAGTTCCATGGATACACTGGTGGGTGAGGACGCAGGACGGAGACCTTGAATTCGATCCTCAGTTCTACGGGAAGCCAGTGTAGAGATTTAAGGATGTGATATATTTGCGCACCCTCATCAGGATCCTAGCAGCGCTGTTCTGAATGTACTGGAGCCTCTGGATGCTTTTGTTAGGGATCCCGATGAGGAGTGCATTGCAGTAGTCCAGCCTGGAGGAGACAAAGGCGTGGACCAGCTTTTCACTACTTGTAGACAGGTCTTGCAACATAACCTGCACTATTTTAATCTAATCTATCCTACTACGTTTCATTTTGCACTATTTTTATTTGATTGATTTACTTATGTCCTATTTGTAATATGTTGCATTGTTGGAGGAGCTCGGGACCTAATTGTCTTTGCCATATCTACACATTAGCTACTGTGCATATGACAATAAAACCTTTGAAGAAGAAAGAGGAAGAAGCCACTTTATTAATCTAACAAGGGGGAATCCAGGTTTCACTCTGTTAGTATGTAGACCAAACAAATTCACACGTGCAGACCTATACACAATCGGAGTACACACATGCACAAACATGCATTTTCTCTGATGGAGAGTTGTCAGAGTGAAGAGGCTTGTTTTACAGCACCAGGGGGCAGTTGAATGTGCACAAACTGACAACTATATGTTGTTACAGGAATACATCATGCAAACACTAGTAAAAACATATCAAGGACATTTGTAGGAATAAAAAAACATGGGCATGAAAATAAACTTTGCTTCTTCAAACATGGCTCAATATCACTTAGTTAATTATAATAATAAATTGTATTTGTATAGCACACTTTGAAAACAACGTCATCTCAAGGTGCTTCACAATTCAATGAGAGTAGAGTAAAACATTATCTACGAAACATATTTAAAAAAAAAAGCAGGACATGCAAAACTAGGGAACTTAGTAAGTTTAAAACCAGACAGTCAGGACAGTCAGTAAAACGCGGTGCAGAACAGGAGGGTCTTAACGGCCCGTCCACACAGCAGCGTTAAACAAATCTTGGAGGTGGGCGTATCTGAAGCTTGGGGATGTTTTGCGAGCAAGGCACCAACAACCAATCACATGAATCTCCCGCCCCCGACATACGAAGCAAAAAAGCCCGAAGTAAACTGGATATAAACTCCCCAAACAGGCGAAAACCTACCACTGTCTCTGCCACCTCCCTCCATGCCTGGCTCCTCCGGTTTGTATCCCGGTAGGTAAATAGGGACTGGTCATAAAGCACCGGGTGATTCCCTACCGCTAATTTCTCCTCCATGTTTTGGAATATGAGGAAATGACCTGTGGTATGTCTCTCCCAGCTTACACGCCGTTTGATTGGCTAGCGCTTGAACTGTCAGATTTGCATACACGGGATTTGATTGGCTGACGCTTCCACCTCAGCTTCAAAAGTTAAACATTGCTCAACTTTGAATCCTGAAAATCCTGAAAATCTCCGCTCGCCTGCCCACAATGCAGTTCGGCGAAAAGTGAGGCAAAGTGACGTCACCCCATTCAAAGTGAATGGGCAGAAGCGTTTCAAGATTTTTTAACGCTGCTGTGTGGACGTACCGTAAGGCTTTTCTTAAAGACTGAAAGTGATGCAGAGGTCCTTATGTTTTTTGAGAGCTGACTCCACAGACGTCTCCCATGGTGACCAGTTTTGTCCTTTGAACAGCGAGGAGATTGGAGCTGCTGATTGTAGTCTTTTCAAGTAAACTCTTAGTTACCTTCAGATAAGACCAAGAGTCTTCTGAGGAATGTAACTGTCTGAAATGATCCAGATGTTTCTAAGTAGCAGACATGATAAGAGCTTGTTGAATTATCTTAATACTATGTAAAGGAGCTTACAAAGTACCTCCTTATCTCCTTTTAGCGTAGGTTACACCTTTACCTTTACACCCTGGGGTCACCTATAGAGTGCCACAGTGACGCGTCCTAAAACCCGGAAGTAAGCTGCGCATGGGTTCCTTCGACAAAAACGCAATGCAATTTCTCCAGAGGATTTTGGAAAATAGATTAGATTTATGATTCGAAAAGATAAAAGTAGGGTAGACATGTGGAGATTATCCGGCTGAACAAAACGTGATCCGTCTCTTAAATGTGTCTCAACCACAGACCTTATTTCCAGCTATTTTCCAACATTTTTGTTTTGCAACCAGAAGTGACACGAGACGTTGGAGCAAAGTACAACCAAATGCAAAAAATGATGTCTTTAGGTGACCAAAAACGTACAATTAACTGCCATTAACTGAGAGCACATGGTGAAATGGTCAATAAATGTAAGATGAAGACCCAGAAAGCACCATACAGTCGATACCTGTCAATCACAAGGAGCCCTGGCCTTCAGCATAACCTGGTTTTACTACACAATTTAGAAAATGAACATTATGCTGCATTGAAGAAGACCTTAAAACTAGAGATTGAGACCATAAACGCATTAGTTAAACGGACAATAAATCAAGTCAGAACTAAGGTTATTTTCTCAAAGACTTCCACACAATTGAACCCCTATTTTTGGATATAAGAGAGATTTTTTGGCTTCACTTTAACGACCTTGAGATAAAGACTTCCTGGAATTCCTTGCAACATAAACATTTAAAGCGACACATGTCAAAAACATCCGCTGTTGCGTAAGAGCGCTGTGAAAGAGCAGTTGGATTCTCTTAAACCCCCCGTTCCTCTTTTCATTTCATCGGCCCCTCGTGCCATTTTCCATGAAAGTCCTGGAAAAGTGGACTTTGACCTTTTCTCTACAGAGTTTATGAATAATGCAGTAAACTGATCCCCACAGATCTGACCTGACCCCTGCAGTGTATTTATTATCTGTCAAACTGCTCTTATACTCATTTTCCTAAGTGTTCTTGTTTTTGTTTTTTACCTACCTACCTACCTACCTACCTACCTACCTACCTACCTACCTACCTACCTACCTACCTACCTACCTACCTACCTACCTACCTACCTACCTACCTACCTCTCTCTCTCTCTCTCTCTCTCTCTCTCTCTCTCTCTCTCTCTCTATCTCTCTATCTATTCTTTATGAAACAACTACACCTGTTTGTGTGCAGCTTGAGCAGTTAAAGGGTTTCTTTTGATTATGTAACAGTATATTTTGTATATAAATACTCTAACAATCCTATTTTAATTAAACTAGGTGTCAAAATACACTCCCTTAGCCTTCTCCTCATGTGTTAAAATCTTGTTTTTAAACCTCTTAAGTCTGTCCGTCCTCATTTTGACCCGTCAGACCCTCTTTAAATCCATCGCTTATATCTAATCCCCCCTCCCCTGTCCTCCTCTTCTTCCATCACCTAGTCCACTGCGCCACAGCCATCACTGTCACTTTAGACGAGGCGCCGTGGGAATTGTAGTCTTTTATAGTGTGTTGACTACAGACGTCACGATTAGGTGCGGCCTTTCTTATCAAAAAACACTACTTTATTTGATTCTGTCTCAGAGAGAGTCGCTGTCAAAATCATGGACAAGATGCGTTTGGATAAGAAGAGCGGGCCCATGATGGTGTCAGAGATCAGCTGCATGGAGAAGCTGTGCCACCCCAACATCGTGCGTCTGTACGAGGTGATGGAGACCAGCAGGAAGCTGTACCTGGTGATGGAGTACGGCAGCAGTGGAGACCTCTTCTCCAGAATCACCACCAGAGGGAAGCTCAACGACCTGGAGAGCAAGATGGTGTTCGCACAAGTCATCTCTGCTGTGAAACACATGGTGAGGAGGAGCCTTCTTCATCATTCACTGATCCTCTGTGTCTCAAATCCATGGAGCTTTGAGGGGTTCAAGACTCACAGCGTTGAGTCATTTAGGGGAATGAGAGCGGGATTTCAGAGGAAGTGAAACTATTTCAAAGGAGCAGTCTGTGGATGTTTAAACCATATTTATTGAAATGCAATTATTGACTTATGGGGTATTCGTTGGGGGGTATTTTTACATACATATTCAAATAGTGGAGGTGGAAAGTTGAAAGGAAATTAGATGACATGCAACAAATGGTTTCTCAGTCGGCCTTAAACTAGAGCTTTGAGGGGTTCAAGACTCACAGCGTTGAGTCATTTCGGGGAATGAGAGCGGGATTTCAGATGAAGTGAAACTATTTCAAAGGATCAGTCTGTGGATGTTTAAACCATATTTATTGAAATGCAATAGTTGACTAATGGGGTATTTTTTGGGAGGTATTTTTCCATCTATATTGAAATATATGGATGCTGGAAGAGAAATCCATTATATTACATAGTATATTTTAATTTGAATGTAAATAATATCCTGCTTTATATCGTGTCTAAAGCCCTTAAATAGTGTTTTATTGTCAGAGTTTATCGATTTTTAATCTTCACAGCATACTGTATATTTTCTACTTTTTAATGCTGCTGTAATTCTATTTTCAGATGTCTAAATTCTAGTATTGTTTATTTCTACTTATGGGCAATGCCTTGTTTTGTTGTTTTTTATGCTGCTGCAACGCAAACATTTCACAATTTGGGATCAATAAAGTACCTCTTATTTTATCCTAAATAGTGGAGGTAGAAAGCGAAATGAGATGAGATGAAATGCAAAAAAAATGTTCCCAGTCGGCCTTAAACTAGGGATGTTGCAATCAGCGTTTCAGCCCCATAAACCACCAGAACATCCCATAAGTGAGCACTTAAATCTCAGAATGAAAAACAACGTATCTTGTTTTTTCTCTGATTTAACGATGACTGTTAACAACAAACAGTTTACAACATGTGAAAACACAACCATCTAAGATTCAGTATACTTGATGTAAAAATCTGTGAAAACACAAAAAAGTACTGAGGGATTTTCAGTCAAATGTACATTAATAAATTGTCCATGTGACATTCTTAGATACTTCATACTGATGGCAACCTTTCACTGTTATATCTGGTGGAAGCTAATTTAAACTAATTAATATACTGGTTTCCTTTGGTTCCTAACACGGGGGTCTTTAAATACATACAATACTTTACATGAAACCATCTGAGTAGTTAATTTATTATCATATATATAACTCTCATATGACTAGGGAGGGTAAAATGTACATTTCCCTTAAAAAGATTAAGTTAGAAAGTAAAAGACATGGTAAATAAATTAAGTAAAAGTACCTTAAACTCGTACTTAAAGGGGACCTATCATGCAAAATGCACTTTTGTACGTCTTTTCTACATGAATATGTGTCCCCGGTGTTCCAGGGAACTCACCAAGTGTCAGAAAACACAACCCTCTCTATTTTCCTCCATACCCAAATCTCTAAAAAAGGGGCTGCAACGGATCTGATAAAAACTGATCCAGATTTGAACACTGTCCTGACGTCAGGACGGAGGCACTACGGCTATTGGGCCAACTCCACCAATCAGGAGGAGACAGCCACGGCCTTTGCCGTTCGAAAGCGCTGGAGACGCTGTAGTACATATGCCAGGCCTGTAGGTGGTGCTGTTCTCACTGAATCTGCCCTTGCTAAAACACAGCTAAAAAATGTCAAATTGAGCAAAATGAGGCATGGCTAAAATGCATGATCTGTTTGGTATTTTGAAAAAAAAAAAGTATAAATATGCCTTATATAGGTATGGTCCTACACTATATTATTCAAATATAGCATGATAGGTCCACTTTAAGTACTTAACGTGAGGAAATGAACTTGTTATTTCCCACTGACTAATCATCATTTCAGCATTTCATCAAAATCTATTTCCTGTAGCTTTAAAAGACAGAAAAAGCACACCACCTATGATTGTTGTTAAATGTTTTCAGAGATTTTCAACATTCTCTTTCTATATATGTTCACCATTTCATAAAACTGAGATTTTTTTCCAATTTCTCTCGGACATTTCAGCACGACAACAACATCGTGCACAGAGACCTGAAGCCAGAGAATGTTTTCTACACCACCAGCCACTGCATCAAGGTGGGAGACTTCGGCTTCAGCACGGAGAACCGGCCTAACGAACTGCTCACTAACTTCTGCGGCTCCCCTCCGTACGCTGCTCCTGAACTCTTCAAGGACAAAGGGTACGTCGGATACTACTCGGACGTCTGGGCTTTGGGTATTCTGTTATACTTCATGCTGACGGCCACTCTGCCTTTCTGTGGGGAGAAAATGGGGCGTTTGAAGCGCAGCATCCTCCAGGGGGCTTACAACATCCCTGCGTATGTTCCAGACCCCTGCCAGCTGGTGATTAAAGGCATGCTGCGACCTGTGCCTATCGACCGCTCCACTCTCTCGCAGATTTTAAACAGTACGTGGCTAACGGGGATTGACTACCCTCCCCCTTATGTGTCGCTGCCCCTCTCCCCGGCTCATTTCCTCCAGGCGAACCAGACTCTGAGCGTGGAGGAGGCGGAGGTGAAGAGCTCTCTGTCAGATCTGGGGATTGTGACGGTGCATTTACAGAACAATCAGTGTGTAGACTGCAGGAGTCCTCTGACGGGGACCTACAGGATCCTGCTCCATCGGGTCCAGAAGAGGAGGTCCGTGGAGGCCGTGGGGTATTCAGCGCTCCACCCTGATGAGTATGGGACCTCCAAACAGTGGTCCATAGCTCCTGTGGACAAACACGATCCCTCCGCTGTCTGTGTTGTACTGTGAAGAGAAAGAGTGGTGCAGAAACGAGTCCTAAACCCCGGAAAAGACTTGTCCCATGTCTTGAAGTCAATGTTTTTTCATACCTGGTTGTGGCTAGAAACCTAAAATAAGGACTGAGGTTTATACACACTCAGATATTTGTTCTACAACATAAAATACCTCAGTAAATACACAGCTTGTGGATGTCAAAAGCTTCTATATGTCATAAAACAGCGGTTGCTAACAAGTGACTTTATAAACTACTAAACCTCATCAAGCTTAGCGGTGGTGACACGAAGTCATGTGAGCAGGATGTAGGTCGTTGATAGTCCACCTGCTTCCACTCCCACTGCTATTTATTTAATTTTCACTTTATTATTTGCCCTTCTTGTTTGCTTGTTTGTTTGTTTGTTAACAGCATGTAAACCGGCCTTGGGTCCCTTGAAAGGCGCTATAAAAATGGCATCTATTGTTATTATTATAGCCTAGCGATTGAGTCTTAAAGTGGTGCTAATATATGGAGATGATCCTGCCGAACAAAACGTTTTAAGTATCATAAACATGTGTTGGCCACAAAGCTTATTTTCTGCGATACACTGAAATCCAATGGGGGAAATCCTTATGTCTTTTTCCTAGGGACCCCTCACCGATGCTAATTTACGGGACCACCTACAAAAGGACTTCATCACTACACTACTGTATAACTGGATTTATCACTTACACATGTGCCCATTTGTTGGCTAACACTCCTTCCATCACGTCAGGCTCCTTTTATCCGTGAGGCTTTGTGTTACATGTTGAGAAACACTCCAGTTGTGTTGTGCAACGCTCGAATGAAATGGATCCAAATGGAGGTCCGGGATCTTCTGTTCTTCTGTGTAAGTCAATCACGGCTCACGCTCGAGGGCACATCTTCTTAGTAATCAGCTATGGCTTTGTGTCATGATTACATCACCGATAAAAGCTAAGTGACGCAGGTGTATCAATCTCTGTATGATTATCAGCCTCTTCCAAGCCCTCTTCCGTGCATACATCTACTGAACTAATCCGGGGCTGCAGGTAATCCTGATGAAATGGACACTGAGGACATGCTTAGGTAACAGAAACGAAACCTGAGACTGGAAAAATGTCCTGAGGTGAAAATAATGTAGAGCAAAATTGGAACCACATGAGGCAAGGACAATGGACAACGTGTAAAACTACTCCTCTCAATGTGTGTTAAAGCTCACCTATTATGCTATATTTGAACAATATATTATAGGGCCATATCGTGAAAGAGAGAGGGTTGTATTTTCTGACACTTTGTGAGTCCCCTGGGACACATATTAAAGGTCCCATGTCACGGCCATTTCTACTGATCATATTTCCATTGTTGAGGTCTACTAGAATAGATTTATATTGTGCAATGTTCCAAACTCACATTGGTTTCTCATACAGCATCTCTGTATAGTATGTGTATTCACTCTCTGTCCTAAACGGCTTGTTGGAGCTCCTGCCCCCCCCTCCCTGTGAGCCCAGTGTGCTCTGATTGGTCGGGACGTTGCGAGGCTCGCTGCTGCGAGGAGCGGACAGGTTTCCGGGTCGGCGAGACACAGCGAAACTCATCTCATGAGCACACACAAACACTCACAGCCGAAGTAAAAACAATAAGTGTGGCTTGATATTGAGTAAGAAAAAGGTTTATAACGCTGTGAGAATGGGTCTGCGGAGAGCATTTCTCTCTGATTTGGGTGTTCACACGTCACTGAACCCAGGAAGCAAACAATGGAAAAAGAGAAATGTCCAACGGGGCGTTCTGAGGCAGCATAGACAGGTATTTTCTGTGTTAGAGTTTTACTCCCTACAGGGTGTACTTTGAGGGTTTGTGACTCTGCAGACCGTTTACATGCAGAACAACCTTCATAACACACAAGGGGACGGGTAATAACCGGACAAGCATGACATGGGACCTTTAATTTTTGCCCTTTTGCACAATAGGTGACATTTAAAGCAATTACTGATGCCTGAAATGCCTTTTATAAATGTAGAAATGTATTTAAATGTTTGTAAATCTTACCAATATATCATGATTGTCACAAAGAGTCTTGAGTGCATGGATTGTTTTACATTTTGCACGACTTAAATCTAATTTTGTTGATATCTGTGTTAAGCTTGGTGCTGATGTTTGCTTATGTTTTATGGCAATACTTTTGAAAATGCTCTCTGGATACTGAGCTGCACTTCATGCTATCTGGCAATGAGTAACGCTGTATCCACTCATCAGAATAAAAGTATTTGGTGTAACACAGTTTCCTCATCTCCTTATCTTTCCACTGGGATAATATTATGCAAGACTCCAGCCAAGGGTTTAAACATTTATCGAGAGATTTCCCCTGGGATTTCCCATGATTTCTTGCTTCCTTAAAAGCACTGAAGTTAAACGAAAAAGGAAAAAGCTTGACCCTTGAGGAAATTTCGCAGGAACTGATTTTGGAGCCGTCCGAAATCCCTTTCCTATAAAACAGCTGATGAGGAAATATGATGCATTTGTGTATTTGTTCAAACATTAAGCAGCGGGGTCTTTTGAGACTGTGAAATTTCATTTTGTTCCAATCTGTGGTCTCTTACTTCTTCCCTTCATTTAACTTCCACTTCACCTTTCACTTTTAAATTCCCCCCGCAGGTAAAACGATCTGGTGCCAGGCTCTTTGCATATTACCATCACTGTTAGCGCCAACTCTCCCAGTGTCTGCACGCACCTGCTGTATTTCTGATAAGTGATAACCACTCAAGCGTCATATTTTGCAATGAAGTGTTGAACCCCTATCCCTACAGCCCTTTCACACAGGACCGTTTACAAAGTGTGTAGACAGGAGCAAACACAAGGCACGAACAAGTGCCAAGGACAGGAGTCTCGACTTGCTGTTTATTTAGGAAACAAGTTATTGCTCAATAACACTTGTGTGAAAATGAATGTTATCATTCATGATGCTAACCCCACAGGATTATCTTTTAACTGCTGCAGTAAATAATGTCCCTTTTGTTCAAAATGAAAGTGATACAACCAGATGGCAGGTGCTGTTGCAACAGATTTAATTAAGGAGCAGAAGCTAACGAGGCAAAGTAAGTTGTTATGCAGAGTGAATGCATGTCTTTAAGGTGATCAAAGGTGGACAAATAGCCCTCAGATAAATGTTTAAAGAGGCCGTATTAGGCTTTTTGGGGTTTTCTCTTTCCTGGTGTAATATAGGTTTTTGTGCATGTAACATCACTATGTAACACTCGTGCTTCTATTGGCGAGCGCTCCAACACATTGTACTTGATAGCCTGTGTTTGACCAATCACAACAGAGCTGGCCAGCTAACCAATCAGAGCAGACTGGGCTCTGGTTTCAGACAGAGGGTGAAAAGAGGTGCTGCAGCACAGGCAGTATGAGAAAAATAAAGAGCTTTTTGAACATTAAAGCATGGAGACATGTAGAGACACTACATACTGATATACACCTGAACATCAGCAGGAGAGGACTCTTTAAAGTAGAGACACTACATACTGATATACACCTGAACATCAGCAGGAGAGGACTCTTTAAAGTAGAGACACTACATACTGATATACACCTGAACATCAGCAGGAGAGGACTCTTTAAAGTAGAGACACTACATACTGATATACACCTGAACATCAGCAGGAGAGGACTCTTTAAAGTAGAGACACTACATACTGATATACACCTGAACATCAGCAGGAGAGGACTCTTTAAAGTAGAGACACTACATACTGATATACACCTGAACATCAGCAGGAGAGGACTCTTTAAAGTAGAGACACTACATACTGATATACACCTGAACATCAGCAGGAGAGGACTCTTTAAAGTAGAGACACTACATACTGATATACACCTGAACATCAGCAGGAGGACTCTTTAAAGTAGAGACACTACATACTGATATACACCTGAACATCAGCAGGAGAGGACTCTTTAAAGTAGAGACACTACATACTGATATACACCTGAACATCAGCAGGAGAGGACTCTTTAAAGTAGAGACACTACATACTGATATACACCTGAACATCAGCAGGAGAGGACTCTTTAAAGTAGAGACACTACATACTGATATACACCTGAACATCAGCAGGAGGACTCTTTAAAGTAGAGACACTACATACTGATATACACCTGAACATCAGCAGGAGAGGACTCTTTAAAGTAGAGACACTACATACTGATATACACCTGAACATCAGCAGGAGAGGACTCTTTAAAGTAGAGACACTACATACTGATATACACCTGAACATCAGCAGGAGAGGACTCTTTAAAGTAGAGACACTACATACTGATATACACCTGAACATCAGCAGGAGAGGACTCTTTAAAGTAGAGACACTACATACTGATATACACCTGAACATCAGCAGGAGAGGACTCTTTAAAGTAGAGACACTACATACTGATATACACCTGAACATCAGCAGGAGAGGACTCTTTAAAGTAGAGACACTACATACTGATATACACCTGGACATCAGCAGGAGAGGACTCTTTAAAGGCTTCTTTAAATATACATTTATATAAGACAATCACTGTTTTTACCATCACTCAAAGTTACATTATATCAGGTTAAAATCACATGTTTATTTTCTCCTAACAACTCATAAATGCCACAAAATCTATGAAAAATGTATGATTGGAACACGTGATAGTCATAAACCAGTGCCTGATAAAAAGTAAACGTGATGAGTGAAATAAGATTAGTTTCTTTGTCTTTTCCTTTCCTCACCCTCTGGGATTATCACGGGGAGCCAACATATTATTGCCAAAAAGCAGGTCAGCATTTGATTGTAATTGCATTTGGCAGAGAGAGAGCAGCCTTGAGCTCTGGATGAATAACAAATCTGTTCACTTCACTAACAGACGTTTTCAGACGGTTGCGAAACAGTAACCACTTTGCCTTATATAGACAACTTCCTTGCAGGAGAGTACAATATTACTGGGATAAAAAGGGATGTGGGGGTCTTTAAGCAAGGATTACATTACATAGATGTGTTTATGTCTACATATCAACCCTGTGTGATAGTTTACAGTCTGTCGCCCTACTTACCATCCTAAACTCAAGCCCCTTGGTGCTGCAAAGGGTTTCACTTTTACTCGTAGTCTGTATATAAAGACGGAGGACATGACAGCTTCCAAAAACTGAAGCCAAAATATCTCGATAGCCCTCAGGTGTCTGCAATACACGTCATACAGCCTCCTTTATGTAAGCGAATGACAACAAGGGCCAAGCTAAAGACTTCATGTCAGAACACACTTTTCTTAAAGATGGTTTCAGTCAATTTAGGTAGTTATTATCATGCTGATTCATGTTTATTATGTTGGCTTCAACTATTCATTTCATACTACACAGAGAAAGTGAATTGTACAAATGTATTCCTTACTTCCCCTTACAATGTCTTCTGTGTCAATTTGATCCAGATTCTATTTATTGAGATGCTATGCCTAGCTACCTAAAAGGCCATTATAGTGCTAACTTGCAGCTAGATGGCTAATGCTAACAAGCTGCGTTAGCTCCCCGCTAACCTCAATCATATCTTAGATTCTGACTCCAAATGATCTCAAAATCTTAAGATGGCAGCTTTTGGATTTTAGCTTCTTCTGAGTTCCTCTGGAGGAGGTTGTGTTTTGTGGGGGGATTGCTAGTGACTTATCCGACCGGCCCACATCGTACGACCGGCCCACTTCAGTACCGGCCCATCGGGATTCGTCCCGTACGTCCCGATGGCCAGTTCGCCACTGCTTGATGCATAACCAGTTGCTTTATTTTATAGTGCTTGGAATCAGTAAGTGGTGATGTAAAGGGTGTTCTGTTCTGTATGTGTTATTTCAACACAGTCTCACGGCATTTCATGTTATAGTCACGAAATGAATCTATTGATTCGTGTTCACGATTTCGCCATTTTTTTCGTGTCACACAGAACGATTTTAAAAGCAATGTAAATAATAACAAATTAGAAGGAAAAACAGATAAAAAATGTATTTATATTGGTAGTATGTTTCGTGCCTGCACCAAATAATAACAAATTAGAAGGAAAAAAAGATGACATAAAATACAGATTTCAGTATTCTGAGGCTCTGAGCCATTTCTTTTCCTCGCTGACGGCAAAAAAACTCAGACATTATACAATTTAAAATAAAAGGGATAGGGTTAGGCTTAGGGTAAGATATTGAGTAAGAACATGTTTTTATGAACCACACAGCTTCTGGTCTTCCAAGAC